CTTTAGAGGACTACTGGTATTTGGTGGGGATATGTTATTTTAGTTTTTCATGTTATTATTTTTTCTCTGTTATTTTGACATGTGAATTTCTTTTGTAGTTTCTGACTCTTGTGTGATACCCGGGCCTTCAAGTTTAGTTCTGCTTCTTTTTTTTGAACCTTTTGTGTCTTTGTGGTTTACATTTTGGGTATGAAGAGCTGGTTCGTCTAAGCTTCTGGTTCTCTCTTTTGATTTTATATTGTCGAGGCCGGATTGATTTTGTCTTCAGGAGATCCGCGGCCCAATTCCAATGTGGATCAGAAGTTTTCAGACTTTCTCCTTAGGTCTGGAATCTTCTAAGAATGCTTTTGGCCTCAGGAACTTGGCTGTTGTACTGACCTGAGACCCTGGCCGTGGCCACGCCACGCAGGGATGCAAAGGTAGATGGGGAGGGAAGAAGCCCCAAGATTTCCCAGGGAGTGGATTGAGTAGCTGGGTTGTACTGGATGCAAAGGATCAGGGAGAGTGAAGGTAAGCCTTGGAGCCCCAGAAAGAGGCTGTCAGCCCCAGAAAGAGGCTGGCGGGTGTTGTAGGACCAGGGAAGTAGAGGGAGGTGAGGGCTGGGCCAGGTCCAGAAGCAGTGCTCCTGGGGCCTAAGGAAGGCACTAAGTTGGTCTGGGTGAAAAAGATCAGGAAGCAGTATTGGTTCCCCAGGTGTCTGGGGCCCCAAGACTAGGACTGGCGCAGGTCCCAAACTAGGAGTATAGAATGGCGGGAGGGATGGAAGGGTGAATGTGACTTAGGGAGTCCCGGCACGGAGAGCTGCGCTATAGACTTACCCCAAGAGGCCTGAGGATAGTAGTGTAGGCTAGGAGAGTTAGCCGGTGGTGCAGGCCCAGGGAAGCAGAGAGCATGGTTTTCTTTTTAATTTTGTTCGATACATAAGATTTTTTAGTTTGTTTTGTCTACACTTATCCTTATAATTGGTTTTTGTAAGCAGATGTTTTTTCCACTGATCACTTTTATGATTTTCATTCCGTTCTTTCATAACTTTTAATTCTCTTATATATCCAGAATAAAGTGAAAAAATCAGGCTTCATTGTCCTCTCTACTCAGTTCTTTTATTGATCTGAGATTTTTTTTTCCCCTAATGACCCCAACTTTTGTAAATTCAGTATCAAATGCAAAAGAAAAGTTTAAATTGGGACCACTTATCATATTCCATTTTAAATTAGAAGAAAACTATGTGTTGAAATACCTTAGTAATGTAAGAAACATTAGATATCAGCCTTTACTTTCAAACCCTGTAAAATTTGGAACTTGGTTTATGACAAGGAATTGTTTAATCACACCATACCCTGTAAGACTTTTGCTCAAGGAGAGGCCCTGATGCCTTCCTGAGCCTCATGGCCTGCAGTAGTGGAGCTCCTCTCCCTTCACCAGTTCCTTTAAACTAGCCAACTGGGAAAGACTGGGTAGTTGGACCCCAGCCCATGGGGAAAAGACACAGTTATCGTGAGTTAGAGCTAATGACCTCCCTGACCTCCCCACTCCCAGCTTCTGGGTCCTATGTGTATTTGCTGGATCTGGCTGACCACAAAAGGCACCCTTTTGCAAAAGTAAAATCTGCCTTGTGAGTTACTTTTGCTTTATCTGCATGTTCTTTGTGTGTGGTATTGATCAGGTCCTTGGACCTTGGGTTTTATTTCTAACAGTAATTTAAGATCTGTTCTAAGTGTGTACTATATAAATGGTATAGTTAATAAATTTATAAAAGCATATATTTACAAATAGCTTTACCTTTTATTGCAGCCGTTTCTCCCTTTGTCTGATAGTGGTGTTATATATGACTCTGATGAAAGTGTTCACAGTGATGATGAAGAAGATGATGCCTTTTTTTCAGACACACAAATACAGGAGCACCAAGATCCAAATTCTTACAGGTAAATAAAATACCCCCCCACCTTCTTCTGAAGACAAACCTGATGTTGTTATTTTAAAATACCAACACTAGGGGCTAGAGAGATGGCTCAGTAGTTAAGAGCACTGTCTGCTCTTACAGAGGACTGGAGTTCAGTTCCCAGCACCCAGTGGTAACTAACAACTATTTATAACTCCAGTTTCAGGGGATCTGAAGTCCTCTTCTGGCATCCACAGCCATAGCGCGCATGGGTGCACTTAGATGTAGGCAAAATACTCATACACATACATTAAAAAATTTTTAAAAATATCCCAGCACTTGGGAGGCAGAGGCAGGTGGATCTCTGTGAGTTCAAGGCCAGCCTGGTCCACATAGTGAGTTCCAGGACAGCTGGGGCCATAGGGAGACCCTGTCTCAAAAAGACCAAAATAATAATAATAATAATAATTTAAAAAATAACAGCACTACCATGAATTTGTATATTAACTGACATATTTTCAAGTTAGAAAATCTTTACCTTTTGGATATGTTTCCAGAAAGTACTTCATATCCAGTTTCAAAGAATAGTTTTCATACAAATTATAAACTGACAGTTTATTGGGAGAAAAATGTAATCTATTGACATGCTTTTGGAACTTAGCATATCATTTGTTGATGTGTAACTAGACTTCAGGTGACTGTATAATAAATACTGTTCTACTGAGCAATTTTCAGATATTCCAAGTGTGATGCATTGTTAAGTTTCAATTTTCAGTAACTACAAATAACCCATTTTGTGTAATAATCATTGGTAGCTTCTTTTCTGAGTTGGAGAAAGCAACTTGAGAGGGAATGTCACTACACTTTCCCCATGATTCAGTTTCTTGATCGATGTGTATGTTTTGGTTTTCTCTGGCAGCTGGGCTCTTCTACATTTGACAGTGATTAAGCTGGCACTTCACAATATCAAGAGTTTCTTCCCTATCGCTGGACTGGAATTTTCTGGTGAGTTTAGAATTTGAAAGTCAAATATTACAAAATATATATAAAAGGCCATTTGTAACTGTAAAAATATTGCATTTGATGTTTTGTGAAGTCTTCTCTGTTATAGGCTCCAGTCTATTTTAACTTTCATAACAAGAAATAGTCTACATAGATTGAAAGAGCAGGAATCCAGGCCAGGTCATTTTAGAGAGCTTGCCTTCTGTTTTGTTGAAAGTATTAAGAACACCCATGATTATATTATATTAATATGTTCAGATTTGTTTGTAAGAATTTAGGTTTTATAGATGTACAGTGATATAATTTTTAAACCCAAATTAAACACCGTATTCTATTACCTTTTAGAGCTCCCTGTAACATCACCATTAGGAATTGCTGTAATTAAAAACCTGGAGAACTGGGAACAGATTCTGCAAGAGAAAATGGATCACTTTGAAGGTCCACCCCCTAACTATATCAACACGTATCCAGCTGACCTTTCAGTAGGAGCTGGGCCAGCAGTTCTTCGAAATAAAGCAATGCTAGAGCCTGAAAATACTCCATTCAAGTGAGAAACTTCTTAGAACACTGATGATACTACTGTCTTGGTTTAGCTTTCCTGGAAAACAGTTTGCAAAAGTATTCCAGTAGCCTTCAAAATACTCTTAAGTTTGAACCTACGACCAATTTTTAGTAATATTCTCTAAATAAAACAGAAATCCGGATAAAAATTATTTTTAAAATTAAATTTATTTATGGGGAGAAGGTGGTACATGCCATAGCATGCATGTAGAAATCAGAGGACAACTTTCTGGGGTCGATTCTTTTCCTCTTACTATGTGGGCTCTGGGGGATTTAACTCAGGTTGTTAGACTTGGCAACCTCCAGAAAATTATTTTGCCCAAAATATCTGTAATTCAATAGATAATATTACTTTTTGTTTGCTTGTTTGAGACAGGGTCTTCTTATACCCCAGCTGGCCTAAAACTATGTAGACCAGGCTTTGATCTCACAGAGATTTGCTTCCCAAGTGCTAGGATTAACAGTATACATCACCATGGTTAGCTATATATATTACTTTTTTTTTTTAACTCTTGGAATGTCTCACACAATAGCCAGACACCACTGTAAAAACAGAAGGTAAGGTAATACTAGTTCTGTGAACTCTCCCTTCTTCTCATGTGAATCCATAATCTGCTACCAGTTGACAGAAAGGAGCTCAATGAGAAGACTATGGATACTTTTTTTTTTTTTTCTTTTTGAGACAGGGTCTCCCTGTAGCCCCAGCTAGCCTGGAACTCACTATGTAGACCAGGCTGGCTTTGAATGCACAAAGATCCACCTGCCTCTGCTCCCTCAGTGCTGGGACTAAAGGCGTGTGGCACCACGCCAGGCTATATATATATTACTTTTATAATCAGGAAAAAAAGACCTTTGTTATCTTCTATGTTTCTTTTTAATTTAATTTTTACAACTCTTGGAAAAACTTGATGGTAATCTGTATTATGTAATCAAAATGATACTGATTTTTTTTTGTGGACAGTTTAGTAAAGGACAAATTAAGGTTTCTATTCTTGTTTGAATATTTTACCTACCTGCCCCTTTGATAAGCAGCATTCTTGTTAAAAAAATTAATTTTAACTAATACATGAAAATATAAAATTACATTTTAATTGATTGACAGATGCTTTGATATGTGTATACACTGTAATGTTCAAGTCAGATTAAACATAACTGGCTGTTTGCTTTGCTTGGAATTAACCAGCCGTGTTCACAAACTTGAAAGACCAAGGTTTTCGCCTGAGGCCATTAAAATGCATCAATCTACTTTTACCAACTGGAAAACCTAAAATTTATTTGGGAAGAAAATGATAAGAGAGTCACTTGATGCTTATGTCACCCAGTTCATTCATTGTAATTGGAGAATTGATTGTAGGTCAGGGACTATTTTTCAGAGAACTAAAAGTTAAAAGTGGAATGTATTGTAAAACTTTGTTGAGCAAGTGACTGGAGCGATGGCTCAGCCATTAAGAATATGTATTACTTTTGCAGAGGACTCAAGTTCAGTTCCCAGCACCCATGTTAGATGGCTCACAGCTCCAGGAGAATCTGTCACCTCTGGCCTACTTAGGCATCTGCATTCAGGTTCACATTACACACATACACAGACATACACACAGACACACACACACACAAAACATAAAATAAAATCTAAAAAATTTTGTTGGGCTTAATGCCATCTTTTTTGAATAGAGATTTTAAAACAAGTATCTACATGTGCGAAATACATTTCCTATGCAGTAAGATAATGTGGTACGTTAATGATTATTTGATAGGTCCCGGGACTCTGCTGCACTTCCAGTCAAACGACTCTGGCATTTCCTTGTCAAACAAGAAGTTCTTCAAGAGACATTTATTAGATATATTTTCACAAAGAAAAGAAAGCAGAGTGAGGTATTTAAAAAATAATATTTTCTATTGTAATTTTTAGGGTTTTTTTTTTTAGCATTTCTGATTGTCAATACTTGATTTGCTTTGAAATTGTATTTTTGATTGGCACTTACTCTATTATCTTTCACATCATGATTAGTACCCAAAGTTTATTAAACTGTAATGTATTTCTTTTAAGATAAAACTTTGTAATTTGCATTTTATAGTAAGTTTCATGATAAATCACATATAGTCAAGTGAAAATTGGTAATTCCTTTAAGTAATTACTATTGGACTTTTCCATATAATAACTTTGCCATGAATGGTTTCAGAATTTATTATATAAGTAACTGTACTTTGTGATGCAATTCTAATTTTTTTAAAGATGATACAAGCACTTGGTATTCTTTTTTACAAAATTAGAAAAATAATTATTTTTTGTGTATGAGTGTTTGCCTGCATGTTTATAAGTGCACCCTTGCATGCAGACCCACAGAGGACTAAAGAGGGTGTTGGATCCCCCAGAACTGGAGTTATGGGTGGTTGGGAGCTGACATGTGAGTGCTGGGAGCTGAGCCTGGGTCTTCTGGAAGAACAGCCAATGCTCTTAACTGATGAACCATCTCTCCAGCTCAGCTCTCTAAATATTTGTTTTAAAATAGAGCATAGCCTTTTAAAAGCATTTTATTTATCATTTGTAAATGAATAGGCTTAGAAATAACACATTAGGATTCTGTGATAGAATAAATTACACAAATACCAAAACCAAGATGAACTATTACTCCGAAAAAAAAAAAAAAAAGGCACAAGTTTAGCGTCACATGGTGATTCAAAACCCAGTATAATTAGTAATGCACCCTTGACTTAAGAAGAATCAGGAGTTTAGGTGGCTAGACAAGGTTGTTTTCCTTAGGAAGATGTTTTATACAAGCGCTTCAGTGCATTCTATGAGGCAAGTAACTGGTCTGCAGAGTAGTGTCATTCAGAGTAGTGTCAGGTACTATCTATGAGGAGAGAAAAATGAACTATATATGAACTATATTTCACTTAGAAAGATGAAAACTGAGAGGGACAGTCTATGTGGGTATCAAGTATAGAACTGCTTAGTTTTTTCCATGCCTAGGACAGCAGACCTACCACACTCATTCATTTTTACTATTCATACCTAGATAGCAATTGTGGTCAGCTCTTGTGAATAGTCATTTATTTTTCCTATGTATTTAAAAATAGAAAGAATGAGCTGTAGAGAGTCTTTTGATCTCTGTATATATTATAGGGGTTTTTTTGTTTTTTTTTTTTTTAGAGCAAAGACCCTGATAGTATTGAAATTACTGATAAAACATTTGATAGGGAAGTCCCAGAGCCACACCATTTGCTTCTAGTGGTGATGCTGAGTCCAAGTTCCCCAAAATCTAAGAAATGGATTTAAAATAAAACATACTTACTCAGTTATGACACGATTATTCACTAAAGCCAATTCTTCAAAGGACTGAACTTTCTGAGTATTTAGTTTTTCAAATCATTAAATTTAACCATTTACCAAAAATATATTTTAACTAGTGGTAAGGTTTGAAGCATATTGACTTGGTTGGATTAAGAGTCTTAGTGTACTGTGGGAAACAATGATGCTCAGGTTTCTTGTACACTTACAGTTTGCCTCTTCCTCCACTAAGCCTCTGCCTCCTGCTGGCCCTTTTGCTTTTTCATCATGTCCCTCAGGCTCTGTGGGCTTGGGGTTAGCAGGCCAAGTGTTGATCTCTGCTGTTGACACATTTTATCCAGACAGAGGTTTCTAAAGTAGGGTAGAGATAAAGCAAGCATTAGGAAAGAGAAGCACATGCCTGGAGTTGGGATGGAAGAATGTTTGTCATCTCCCCTTTGGGCTTCTATACATTGAATGAAGTGACTTGCTAGTGCTCTCCAATCTCTGTATCTTTGCCTCTTTGCAGAGAAGTCACCAGTCACATGTGGTAACTGGGCATTGAAATGTGGCTGGTATGATTGAGGAACTGAACTTTTTGTTTAATTTTATCTAATTTTGAGTAGCCACGTGTTCTAGGGTTTTTTTCAGTTGCTGTGACAAAACACTTTGACCAATACCAGCTTGGGGAGGAAAGGGTTTATTTTATTTTACATCTCCTGGGTCACAGCTCATTACTGAGGGAGCCCCAGGTAGCAACTCAGGGCAGGCACTAGAGGCAGGAGCTGAAGCACAGACTGTGGAGGAATGCTGATAATTTTACTCATCAAGTATGTAAAAGAAAAAACGTTCAGCAAAACAAGCTTTTGTGAAATTGATAAATGTGTCAAACCAGCTAATTGACACAGACAAGTAAATACCTCAGAATTGACTTTCCCTTAGCCATTCTCCATATTGACCACTCCCCCTTTGTTTTCCCGGTTGCTTCCTTGTCAGTTGCTCCAGCGATCTTCAGGGAGGATTAGAAAATTTGAATGGCCCTAGGTTGGAACTGTGACATCAAAAGGTCTGAGCAGGAGTTCATTGCTCTGATCAGGCTTTAGGAGGTTTCCACAGCAGAACAGGAATGATACCTCTGGTTGTCTCCATCTCTTAGGACCTGTTGTCAGTCAGGAGCAAGTTACTTGTATGATTTCTTCTTTCCATGCCCCATTCTATCAAACATTTATAAAGTGAATAATCTTGTGATTAGAAAAAAATTATATGATCACTCAGATTTGTTACTATGGTCAGTGCTTGGTGTCACTCAACCTGTTTGCTATCCTAGCTTTTGGGAAATAAAAACAAAAGGAGCTCAAGTTCCAGGCCAACCCCAGGCTATTGAGACATGCCTAGGTGTTAACTCAGTGATAGAGTGGTTGCCAAACATGAATCAAGTCCTGGGTTTAATCCTCAGAACCTTAAAAATGGGGGGAGGGAATAAGGAGATGGCTCAGTCAGTAAAGTAAGCTCCAGGTCAGGGAGAGATCCTGCTTTAAAAAATGAGATAGCGGGGCTGGAGAGATGAATCCTAGCACCCACATGGCAGCTAACAATTGTCCGTAATTCCAGTTTCGGGGGCGCTGACGTCCTCTTCTGTCCTCCGTGGGCGTTGCAGGACACGGGTATACTTACCTACATGCAGGCAATACATGCATACACATAAAATAAAGATAATAAAATAGTTTTAAAAAATGAGATAGAAAGCAGCTAGGGAAGACAGACCCTCAACATTGCCTGTGGCCTCCATGTACACATACACAAAGGCATTCCCCCTACATGCACACATGTGAACATAGACATACATACAACACATACAAAAAATAAATGGAGTTTTACTTTTAGAGATTCCCTTTAAAAAAAAAAAGCTTTGGTATATAAATGGTATATAAGTAATAAATTTTTATTTTGAAATAGTTTTTGTTTTCATGTGTATGCAATAGTCATAGTACCTTTAATTTTTCTGCTTTTGCTGTGTGTTGTGTTTCGTTCAGTTTAATTTTTCAAAATCATTTTTGTCATCTTTACATGATGACTATTCTAGCTTGAAACTTTTCATTCTCTTTATAATTTCATTTCATGCATGTGTTTTGTGTTTGTGATGGTGTGGTGTTATGTAGTCTGTAGAAGAACATGTGGAGCAGGTCAAACACATCTCCGTAGCAGAAGATTGCCACATCAAGGTAGTCTCCCAAGTTCCTCTCTGTAGCTCACTTTTCAAAGTTCTCAGAGCTAACCACTCATCTCTGATACTAACCATGACTGCCCCGCTGGCTAATCAAAGAACTTGCTGCTTGTACCCCGTCAGGACATAGGGCAGGAGATACCTCCTGTGCCTATCTTAGTTCTGCTGGGGCATTGGTTCTTCTTTCTTGTTCACTGTTCCATCTCTACTTCTATCACATTTTCAAGTCTGTTTTTTTTTTTTTTTTACAACTGCAACTGGTCTTTCTCCTTGACTCTGCCCCTTCTTTTGCTTCCCACCACCTCTGACATAAGCTGCCATACCTTCTGATAGTCTTCATTCCTTTCTACCTGTCCTTCTTTACAGATTCTTACCGTTCTCATTTCCTCACCCTTATTTTAAAATGTTTCATCTTTTATGTGACTCCTTGGTTTTCTGTGACATTTTCCTCCACTCTCTTCCTCCTAACACACAGACATTCTTACTACAGAATACTTGTGCACTTTGAAAAGCTAAAATACACATTTAAATTGTGAAAATATTTTGGCTATCTTTTGTGATAATCAGTACCTATAAATACATTGGAGATCTTTATAATTTGGGTGTTTGATTACAGAGATTCAGAGCATACAAGCAAATTTTCCAAAACTAATTCTCTGTATACTACTGTTTCCCATACTTTTTTCTTGCTGCTACTATGTCTTCTTTTCCAACTTTTAAGTTTTGTGGGATGTTCACATATGTCTGTAGAGCCATGCAGCAGCTACTAACCCTCAGTAATGTTTTGTAGGTTGAAGCTGATCTGGGCTATCCAGGAGGAAAAGCCAAAGTCATTCATAAGGAATCTGACATGATCATGGCATTTTCTGTTAATAAGGTAAACATTGTAGTCATTATAGAAAATATACTGCTTTGGGGGCTGGAGAGATAGCTCAGCAGTTAAGAACACTGGTTGTTCTTGCAGAAGACCAGACTTCGAATCCCAGCACCCACATGGCAGCTAACAACTGTCTGTAACTCCAGTCCCAGGGGATCTGACAGCCTCTTCTGACCACCGCGGGCATTGCATGACATGGGTGCACTTACCTACATGCAGGCAATACATGCATACATATAAAATGAAAAAATAAAATTTTTTTAAAAAAGAAAATATACTGCTTTTTAGTGAAATTGCTCAAATCATTGTTCTGCCTTTATTTTATAGGCAAACTGTAATGAAATTGTTTTGGCTTCAACACATGATGTTCAAGAACTTGATGTTACTTCTCTACTGGCCTGTCAATCATATATATGGATTGGAGAAGAATATGATAGAGAATCTAAAAGGTGTGCCTCACAGATAATTTAAATGTAATTTTCTTCAACAAATACCCACTAAATTGTTGGACTGGGAGATGTATCTCTTCAGTTGTGTAGGAAACAAACAGAATTGATTTAGTTGACAATATTAAGGTTTTGCTTAGTGTATAAATTACTCATAATTTTTCCATAAAGTCTTTCATAATCCCTAACATAAATGTCTAATGCTGAAAACTGCCACTTTGACATTTAACCCCAAGGAATTGTCAGTAATTACACAGTATTCAGTAAGTTTAGCTGCTCTGGATAATGAAAGCAGAAAAATAGTATTCACAAATTTATTAGACTAATCAATAATGTTGGTCACACTTAGGGAATATTCTTCAGTGTTTCTTAATTACCACCTAATAATTACCACCTAATAAGCATCTTTTGGATACCAATGTAGACAACTTTAATTTTCATTGAGGCTGTGGACACTGTATGAGGAGTTTGGTAACACTTTTTTAATCTTTAGGTTTTTTTTTTTTTTTAACATGTTTGCTCTCCTTTCAAGTCAGGAATTTCATGTCACTAAGAATGGTGCCCTGAGGGCTTCTCTCCATGCTTTATGGAATTCTTTTCATTAGCATTTAGCCAGGTTTTAATCATACTTCATAGTAAATATAACCATGTAATATGGTATAACTCCATCATCAACTTATGAGTATTTTAAGAAAATTTGTACTTGTTTTTTGGTTTTTGAGACAAGTTTTCATATTTAGGCTGGCTTCCAACTTCCAACTTACAATGTAGCTGGGCATGATCTTGAACTCCTGATCTTCCAACCTCTACCTCCCCAGTGCTGTGATTGCAGGCATGTACTAACATGTCTAACTTTATATTTATTTCTTTGAAAAGCATTTAAAAATATTTTATTATTCTTATTTTGTGTTTTTGCATGGTATTGCCTGCATGTTTGTAAGTGCTCATGTGTAATGCAGTGGCTGCAGAGGCAGAAGAGGGTGGTTGGACCCCCCTGGAACTGGAGTTATGGATGGTTGTTAACTGTCAGTGTGTGCTGGGATTAACCTCTGAGCCATCTCTCTATCCCCTTGTTTGAAAATTTTAATTTGGGCTGGGTATGGTGACGCATGACTTCAGTCCCAGCAAGGCAGAGAGGATCTTTGTAGTTCAAGGCCAGCCTGGTCTACATCCAGATCGGGTGGGGCTACAAAGTGAGAACCTGTCTCAAAAAAACAAAAAACAAAAGAAACAAAAAATATTAATTTGGGCTGGGCATGGTGCTCACACCTTTAGTCCTAGCACTCAAGAGGCAGAGGCAGGAGGAATTCTGTGAGTTCAAGCCAGCCTACTCTACATACTATAGAGTTCTAGGTCATCCAGGGCTACATAGTAAGACCTGGTCCTAAAAATCAAACAAAGCACGATACTTTTTTTTTAATAATTTGAGGCTGGGGGTGTGTCTTTGAGTACCTGTTTAACATGCATGAGTTCTTGGGTTTAATTACCAGTATCAAGACAAAAAGAAAGAGGCATATAGGAATGGTGACTTATGCCTATAATCCTAGCACTTGGGAGGCAAAGGCAGGAGGATCTTAAGTTCAAGACCAGCTTGGGCTACATAGTAAGATCCTGTCTCAAAAAATAAGTAAATAAAGGGGCTAGAGAGATGGCTTAGTTGGTAAAGTGCTTGCTGCAGAAGCATGAGGACCTGAGTTTGAGCCCAAGAACCCACATAGAAGCTAGGTGTGGTAGCATGTATTTGTGACTCCAACACTGGTGGGATAATGGTAGGCAGATTCCAGGGGTTTGTTAACTAGCCAGCCTAGCTTGAAACAGCAAGCTTCAGGTTCAGTGAGAGACCCTGCCTCAGAAAAATGAGGTAGAGGAAGAAAGCATCTGACTTCAACCTCTGGCCTCCATGGACATACACACAGAAATAAAACCATACAAGTGAATAAATGTAAATGAAATAATTTGATATATGTGCTCTCTGTTCTGAAGAGATCATTTAATGTTTATATATAACCAAAAGAAAACGTGGTAAAACATTCTTAAATGTTTTTATTAGCACATATTAATTACACATAACAATGGGTTTCAGTATTACATTTTCATATATGTTTATAATATATGTTGATCATATTTACTGTTAACTCTTTCCTTCTGTAACCGATCCTTTTCTCTTCACAGCAAGCCCCCCTTCTACTTCCATGTCTTTTTTTGTATTTGTGACCAAGTGAGTTTCATTAGGATTGTTTACAAGAACATAGGCACTCAGTGGCCGTACCACTGAAAAGAATGCCTCTCCCTTCTCCATCAGCCATTCGCTTCATATAAATCTTCAGGGAGGGTTAAAATACTTTAAAATAGCATTTGTTCTAATTTCCAGTAATAAAACTTATCACAAAGATAATAAATTAGACTGAATTTATATTTTGTTTGAAGGGGAAAAAATTAGTGCTAAAATTGGCTAGATTAAGATTTATACCAAAGTTTTTGCTTGCTTGCTTGCTTGCTTGTTTGAGACAGGATCTCATTGTGTAGCTCTGGCTGACTTCAAGCTCAGATTTGCCTGCCTCTGCATTCTGAGTGAAGACTAAAGGTGTGTATCACCATGCCTGGTTTGTACCTATGCTTTTATTAGTGGATATTTATTCTTTTTTTTTTTTTTTTTGTCTTTTTGAGACAGGGTCTCCCTGTAGCCCCAGATGTCCAGGAACTCACTATGTAGACCAGACTGGCCTTGAACTCACAGAGATCCGCCTGCTTCTGCCTCCCAAGTGCTGGTGCTACAGGCATGTGCCACCACGCCCGGCTATTTATCCTATTTTTTAAAAAATAAAAACTGTTTTTTAACTGCCAAAGAATAAATTACTGTGTCAGGTATGGTGGTCCATGCCTTTAATACCAGTACTCAGAGACAGGCAGATCTCTGAGATCGAGGCCAGCCTGCTTTACATAGTGAGTTCCAGGCCAGCTGGGGCTATAGGGAGACCCTGTCTCAAAAAGATTTTTTTAAAAATTAATAAAAGAAACAAACTCTTACTACATCTGTATCTTTATGGTAATAAAAAGAAAATGCATCGAAAAAGAATGTTTTATGTTATATAAAATCTCTGTAATTGATTTGTGTTAAGAAAGAATGTAACTTTCAGAGTAACATGGACCTATTTTTCACAGTTCAGATGATATTGATTATCGTGGTTCCACCACAACCTTGTATCAGCCTGGAGCGGCCGCCCATTCCACAAGCCAGGTGCATCCACCTCCGTCTCTGCCATGGCTAGGCAGCGGGCAGACCAGCACTGGGGCTAGTGTGGTATGTCACTACTCCTAGGCAAGCGTGGTTTCTGGATATGGGCTCCCCAAGGAATGAGTTGATGTCATTTTGGCATAAAAATGATCCCGAAGATGAGAATAGTTTTCATTTACTGTGAGTTTCCCTGGTGCATGCTTTTTCACACATCAACCACAAGTGGGAATGGTTGTTATTATCTTACATATCATTTTATAGATGAGTAAACTGAGGCACAGAATGGTAAAGCAAAATCAAAGAGGAATTCATGTCTATGTTTGAAAGTGCCCTAGCTTACCGATGTTGATATTTACTAGTCACCATGGTTGAAGGAGTCCCATTCTCATGTTCTTTCTGAAGAATCTGGAATCCAGCTGGTTGTGGTGGTATATGTCTGTATCCTTGTACTGAGAGACTGAGGCAGATGCATTGCAAATTTGAGCTGTTAATGAGTTTAGAACATCTATAAAGGGTTTATCTCAGTAATAACTTGTAAGAAAATACATGTCGTCAGGGTTGCTCTGATGCGTGTTCTTCCTCACCTTTCTGTAATCAAAAAGTAAATCCATTTTCTCTCCTTTTAAAGCTCATGAAAAGGAACTTACATAATGTTAAGAGAATGACTTCACACCCTGTCCATCAATACTGTAAGTATTTGATTTATGATCTAAGGATTTTAACTGTTTCTGAGGTGGATGTATAGAAGAGGGCTCACTGGAACACTTCAGTTTCAAACTTGCTGCTTTTTCTCTGTTTAGATCTCACAGGTGCTCAGGATGGAAGTGTCCGAATGTTTGAATGGACACGACCTCAGCAACTTGTCTGTTTCCGCCAAGCCGGCAATGCAAGAGTTACTAGATTATATTTTAACTCACAAGGCAACAAGGTTAGTTCATGGGAGTTACTACTGAACCTGTTCAAAAAATAATTGTGGATACTGAAGATGAAATGTTTATGAAAATTGTATCTAAATAATAATAATTCAATGACCTTGGGTTTAAAAACTGAGGAGATAATTTGTTCAGTTCTATTTATGTAGCCTCTTTTCTTTCAATGAAACATAAATTTGGGGGCTGGAGAAATGGCTCAGTGGTTAAGAGCACTTACTGCTCTTTCAGAGGACTTGGGTTCAGTTTCTGGTGTCTCCCCATCCCTCCATGCCTCACACCCTCCTGTCCAGGTCCAGGGATCTAATGCTTTCTGGCCTCCATGGGCACCTGCATACACTTGGTGCACATAAACTCATGCAGGCACACACGCATACATATGAATTAATAACTATTTAAAAAAACATAAATCCACACAAATTTAGTATGGGTTGACCAGCTATCCACTTAAGATACCCAAAGATTTTTGAAAGTAGAAAACTTCTGCTGAGTACTGCTGGTGCCTGCCTGCTTCCTTGAGTTCTTAAGAGCCACCCATTTTCTCCCTCACTCTGTTGTGGAGTGTTAGAGGAGAGTAATGGAATGGGTGTGGAAAAGCACTTGAAAGGTGTCAGGGCACTTGACTTTCTTGGGAAGCACAACAGAGATAACTATAGGCAGAATGTTAAGTGGGATCTTAATAAATCTCCTTTCTATAGGTGATTTTACCTTTGATAGGAATTCTGGAAGCTATGTTTAATATTTATGCATTCTTGCAGTGTGGTGTTGCAGATGGAGAGGGTTTTCTGAGTATCTGGCAAGTTAATCAAACTGCATCAAATCCTAAACCTTACATGGTAAGTTGCCCTCACATTTCCAGAGTACATACAGAGAACATTGTTGACAAAGTGTCTGTCTGCTTCCCATGGTATATCTTTTGGTGGTTCTGTTGGGAAAATGACAGCTCTGCCTGGTAGTTACACCATGAGCCACTCCTCTTTACCCTCGTTTTAGATAAAATTACCTTATTATTATTAATTTTTGCTTTTATGTTGAAGGGATGCCATGATATTTTAAAACTTCCAAGGGTTTTCACTCTGTGAGGTTGACACAGGATACTTTAATAGCACTTTCTTATTTTTTTTTGTTTTTTTTTTTTTTTGCTTTCTTTGAGACAGTGTTTCCCTATAGCCCCAGCTGTCCTGAAACTTGCTATGTAGACCAGGATCACCTTGAACTGACAGAGATCCACCTGCCTCTGCCTCCAGAGTGTTGGGATTAAAGGCATGTACCACCACACCTGGCTGATAAATTTTTAATTAAGAACTCAAAATAAAAATTTTCAAAAAACTTTTAGATTTATTTTATTCACATGAAAGAAAAATTAAAAGTATTTTTCTGTCTTTTAATTTGACACAAGAATTAGGAACATGATTACAGCCACAATGCTTCCTAGAATAAGAAAAAAATTGTAAGAAAGATCAAAATTGTTAAAGACTTTGGATGGGAAGGGCAGTCACAATTAATTCATATTGATTTACTTGTTCATGTACATTAAAATTTCTTTTAAACTCTTGCTCTTTAGTCTTCTACTTAGAAAGAAGGGAAATTGACCATTATGGCCTCTGGGTGCACCTTGGTCTGAAGTTCTGAGTAGTAAACATATCAAGGCAGATCTGTGTTCTGAGCAAGAGAGTCAAGCTATTTAGTCTGGAGGAGACTGGGGCTCAGGCCACCCAACAGTATGGACCTGCACCCCTCATCCAGATTGAATTTTAACAGCTGTTCTTGTTGAATAAGGTGATGCACACCTGTGATCCTAACACTTGGAAAGTTGAGGATTGTGAGTTTGAGGCAGCCTGGGCTACATACCAAGATTCTGTTTCAGAAACAACAAAATTGGTTTTGCTCATGAGTCTAGTATATATTGGTAGAGCTGTATTTGTATCATATCAGTTGGGTTTGGATTTGGATTTTTAGATAACATTGGTTTTATTTTGTTTTCTCTAGAGTTGGCAGTGCCACAGTAAAGCCACAAGTGACTTTGCATTTATTACCTCTTCAAGTCTAGTTGCAACATCTGGACAGTCCAATGACAATAGGTAGGTTGACAGAAGAAAAAAAATTAGGGATGGAGCTATCTTTTCTGGAAAATAAAGATTCCTATTTAGTAAGGTTTTCTGTCCCAAGAATTAAAAAATACTATTCTTACAATGGCTTTCCTTATCAAAAGAGAAAAGCAAAACATAAACTGAAAGCATGTATAATTGTTATGTTTAAGTTATTTAGTCATTTTAAGAAATACTATTATTGTAGGCTGGGCGTGGTAGCATACTTTAATCCTAGCACTGGGGAAGCAGAGGCAGGTGGATCTCTGAGTTGGAGGCTAGCCTGGTCTACATAGCAAGTTCCAGGCCAGTTGGGGCTACTGGGAGACACTATCTCAAAAATACCAGGGGGGGGGGAGAGAGAGAGAGAGAGAGAAAGAGAGAGGGAGAGGGAGAGGGAGAGGGAGAGGGAGAGGAAATACTATTATTGTAAGGCTCTTCAGAACTAATGAGCATTTAACATGTTGTAGCCATCATTCTTTTTATTTCCTTCCTTACACTGTTTTCATTGGCTGCATGCTTATAAATAACACCTTGTTTCCCTGCAGTGAGTATTTTCTGGGGATACAGAAGTACTCTTCTACCTGGGAAACCATATCTCAGTTTCCCCAGAAAGGTAATGGAAAAGAGATGAGGCTGGGGGTGCAGGGTGCAGTGAGAGGGATCTTCTGAGACAGGGTAATACTAGTTTTGAGATAGATAAACTCTTAGGAGATATACACCCCTATTGTAGTTTGGAATCACTGCTTTATGAGTGAAAAAAATCAAATATGTAAAAATATTTGTCTTGAAGACAAAATTTGTCCCTAGTGGTGATTTAGAATAATTATTTATGATATATTTTGTTGTTTCTTTAAAAGAAATGTATGCCTCTGGGACACATTAATATCACCTGGAAACAGCCTCATTCATGGTAAGTTAAGGTCTATGATTTTTAACACATTCTGAAGGAATGCTCTACTTTTTTATTTTACTTAATGAACCCAGTGTTTACTCACAGATTGATGTGGAGGACTATATATACAGAGAAGAGGTTTATTTTGGCTCATGGTTTCAGAGTTTTCAGCCTAGGTTGTTTGTCCTTTTCCTTTGAGCCTGTGGGAAAGAAGCACATCATAGAGGGAGATGTGGAAGAAGCTGCTCACCTCATGACTGCTGAGAAGCAGAGGGAAGAAGGGTTGGGATCCTCTTCAAGGGAACCCCATTGCCCTAACTTCCTCCCAGCAGGTTCTAATCTTCTGAAGGTTTGACTAACACCTAATAGTGCAACAGTCCATGAAACTTTTGGGGATGCCTGTCCAGACTATAGCAGAAGGATAACTCCTTGTAACTGAAAGTGTTCATACAAGTGTAGTTTCTTTTTTAAACAAAAATATTTTATTATTATTTTATGTGTATGAGTGTATTGCCTGCATGTATGTAAGTGTACCCATGTCATGCAGTGCCCACGGAGGTCAGAAGAAAGCATCGAATCCAATGGAACTGGAGTTATGGATGGTTGTTAGCTACCATGTGGGTGCTGGGACTTGAACCTGAGTTCTCTACAAAAGCAGTCAGTGATCTCAACCACTGAGCCATCTCTCCAGCCCCAGTTTCGTTTTCTTACCCAAGGAGATCTTCAAATGAGGGTCTATGATGGGATAGTACCAGGTTAGGTGAATACTTGATGCTGGGTAGTAATGAGGTGACTGAGTGCACCACTGAGAAGCCTGGACTCCTCTGCACTTTTTCTCATACATGCTTATTTTAAAACATTTAAAATTTGGATGTATACAGCACTCAGGCAGAGGCAGATGGAGCTCTGTGAGTTTGAGACCAGTCTGGTTTACAGTGAGTTCCAGGCTTAGTGAGGCCCTGTCCCTTTTTTTTTTTTCTCCTATCAGGGTCTCCCTGCAGCCCCAGCTGGCATGGAACTCATTATGTAGACCAGGCTTACCTTGAACTCACAGAGATCCTCCTGCCTCTGCCTCCCAAGCTCCCAAGTGCTGGGATTAAAGGTGTGCACTACCACGCCGGGCAAGAGACCCTATCTTAAAAAACAAAATACTAGCTGAATGAGGTGGCACACAGCTTTAATTGTAGCACTTGGGAGGCAGAGGCAGGTGGATCTCTGAGTTCGAGGGCAGCCTGGTGTATATAGTGAGTTCCAGGTCAGCTGGGGCTACAGGGAGACCCTGTCTCAAAGACCAGGAAAAAAAAAATAAAAATTGGGGCTGGAGAGATGGCTTAGTGGTTAACAGTACTGACTGCTCTTGCAGAGGACCCAGGTTCAGTTCCCATCACCCACATGGTAGCTAATAATTGATTGTCCATAACTCCGGTTCCAGGGGATCTGACTCCCTCTTCTAACCTCTAAGGACATTGCATGACACAGGTGCACTTACATACTTATAGACATGCACTTATACACATAAATTAAAAAAATTATTAAAAATTAAAAACACTTAAATTAATACATGTTTAGTGCATGTTAATAAGTTCAGTGTGATATTTCCATACATGGTGCTTCATACTTTTTTATTATGAGGCACATAATTTAGGACTTAAGATTTAAACATCCTTTTTCTGTATGTTTCATGTTGATAAAATTTTTTGTAACATTAAATTTTTTTATTTTAATCATATGGTTTTAGAAATTCAGTTACTAAAAAAAACTCAGTGACTAAAATATGGATGTACTTTAGTGTGACAAAATGCCCAACAAAAACAACTTAAGAGAGGAAGGGTTTATTATGCTTAGGGTTTCAGAGGTTTCTGTCCATGGTCAACTGGCTCTATGGTTTCTGGGCTCTGGGGAGGCAGAACATTATGGCAGAGAGCAAAGCAAGGTAGACAGGAAGCAGCCAAAATGACAGGAAAGAACTATAGAAAAATACAGCCCTCAAGAACATGTCCCAGTGACCTAGTTCCTACAGCTGGGCCTCACCTTCCACCATCTTCCAATTATGCCATCAGATTATGAACCCATCAGAGGTAATCCACAGATGAAGGCAAAGCTCTCATGGTTGTCACCTCTCAGGGACTGGATCCAGCAGCTGGGGATCAGTCTTTAACACATGAACTTATTGGGAGATACTTTATAAATATAATACTTAGAGTGAAAAAAGTGCAGTGTTAATGCCTGTGTTTTTAAATGTGAATTTAAGTATCAGAATGGCAAGATGGAAGTTTTTTGGAATAGGGAAAGTCTCTTGGTGTCTTTTTTTTCAGGTTTCACATGCCATGACCATGGTGCCACAGTACTGCAGTATGCCCCCAAACAGCAACTCCTGATCTCTGGAGGTCGGAAGGGATGCATCTGCATTTTTGATATCAGACAGAGACAGCTAATGCATACCTTCCAGGCACATGACTCAGCTATTAAGGCTTTGGCTCTGGATCCCTGTGAGGAATATTTTACTACAGGATCAGCAGAAGGCAATATAAAGGTAATTCTACGTAAGAGGTGGGAGTGGCTAAATATAGTCTTTACCTGATAAGACTTATAGGAAAGAGAAAAGTAAATCAAAGCACTGCATTCTGAAATGGAGGTATTGAAGTAAAGCTTTGGGGGTACTGATCTCCATGGCATGCCACCTCCACTCAACCTGTGCTTCTCTGTGGCTCTTTCTAAATGATTCTGATTTGGAAAACCAATAGAGTCACTGGACTCTTGGGTTACTTCCACTATTGGGAGTGGCTAAATATAGTCTTTACCTGATAAGACTTATAGGAAAGAGAAAAGTAAATCAAAGCACTGCATTCTGAAATGGAGGTATTGAAGTAAAGCTTTGGGGGTACTGATCTCCATGGCATGCCACCTCCACTCAACCTGTGCTTCTCTGTGGCTCTTTCTAAATGATTCTGATTTGGAAAACCAATGGACTCTTGGGTTACTTCCACTATAAAACAGGGAAGGGTTGGAATATAGATCAGTGGTAGAACACTTGGTTAAAATGTGCAAAGCCCTAGCACTACAAAATGTAAATAAAAAGCTTTAAAGGATTTTGAGTAAAATGTTTGAGGGTTTGTTTTGTGATACTGAAGATTGAGCTCAGGGCCTCATGGATACTAGGCAAACACTTTAGTAAATAAGGTATACCACCCGCCCCCAAATGCGAATTTAATTACATTCACATTAAATGGATATTTTTGGTGAAATTAGTTTAGAATGTTTTTCCTTCTCCCTACCTTTACCTTTCACTGAAGGAAGATTTGAAGATGGGTGAGACAGTTACCATACTTCTTTATGTTGCACTAGAACAGAGCTTTACATAGAAAGATATTTAACTGAAATTAAATATTTGGTTGAATTAGTGATGATATATATATATATATATATATATGTGAGAAATATAAGAGAATGTAAGACTGTGAAGAGAGAAGTTTGACAGAAGGGTCAGGAAGTGTTAGGACAGAAAATGAGTCATGTGAGCGATATTACTGCTTCCTGTTAAGTAGACTGTTATGAAAGTAGGAGTGAGCAGGAGAGTTGGACTTCGGTGGGATTACTTGGACCAAGGAGCAGAAGTGAGGGCTATGTGTTTAGTGTTTGGTCTCTCCTTTTAATGACTCAAAATATTTGTTTTCTTTTTAAATTAGGTCTGGAGATTGACAGGCCATGGCTTGATTCATTCATTTAAGAATGAACATGCTAAGCAGTCCATATTCCGAAACATTGGAGCTGGAGTCATGCAGATTGACATCAGCCAAGACAATCGGCTCTTCTCTTGTGGTGCAGATGGCACTCTGAAAACCAGGGTTCTGCCCAATGCTTTTAACATCCCTAGTAGAATTCTTGACATTCTGTAGTTCCAAAGATTGAGGGTTTATTTTTATATACATTTTAGTTAAAAGACATAATGCAGGAATTACACAGTTCTGCTTTGCACACTGTTAACACCTTGAAAACAATACAGAGAATCTCTGTAGAATTTGATTCTGATCCAAGCTGGGTGACACAGCGCAGTGTTGCTTACCCAGATTGGTAGAGTGCATGTATCTCATTATAACACTGACATACAAAAACAAAAACAGGTGAACCTTGTGTTGTATGAAGGGAAGCTATTCTTTACATCATGTAACAGACCTGTTTCAAAAACAGGTGAGGTTAGCTAACAGTAAGTTAAAATATCAAGCAGTGTCTTTATACCAAATTGTAGAAGAAAATGTTGCTGATTTGGGTTTTTCTTCCTGTTCTTACCATGGATTGAAGCATGCCTGCTGCCCCTTCTTTTGTTGAATAAAGGATAGTCATAAGGTGTTAGAAACTCTAGACCACCAGGAAAACTTTAAACTGTGGAGCAGTGTTCAATGACCAGTTCTCTGTCATAAGAGGTCATTTTCATTCTTCCTGCTGAATATTTTTCCTGTTTGTGTTTATACTGAGCTAGTACTGTAACCTGCAAATCAGTGCAAATTTAAATGCGATGTTTTCCTCACGATTTGCACATTTACATTTTTTGGACTGCTAGTTTTTCTATTAAAATACTTGCCTTTATGTTAGGAATGTAATATGTAGACATGACATATTTGTAGTTAATCAAAACATACCTTTTTAGTCCAGTTTAGATCTTTTTCTTTTTATGTATTTAAGGTTAAATACCCACCACATGTAAGGCTATGTTGGAACTATACCAATAGAGCATTTCATATCAATTAAAATGAATGTTGGGCTTTTTGTGGCCAGTTGATGAGATTGGTGATATTATTTATTGCCACAGCCTATTGTATAAACTATGCAGAGTTAAATATTATTTGCTTGTAAAATATTAGCTAATGTTACCATATTTTGATGTATTTCCTTTGTTATGATGAAAAATATGTTGTGATATTGAAACCAATGTCTGTGTGTTTAAATGTCTACCAGCAAATTGTCTCATCATGTGAATGAGAATGTTTAATGCCTGTGTGGTAAATAGTAAAATATAATGGTACACAAGCACCTTTCTCTGGAGGCAATATGATGTTCATGCTGTGAAATACATATGTAAAAGAAAAATAAATGTTATTTGTTAGAGTTTTATCTTAGTTTGGCCTATTTAAGTAGACTGGTCTGGCATTCTTTGACCCTATTTGTTGTTGTTTTGGTTTTTTGAGACAGGGTCTCCCTGTAGCCCCAGCTGGCCTGGAACTCACTGTGTAGCCCAGGCTGGCCTCAATCCTACAGAGATCTGCCTGCCTCTGCCTCTGCCTCTAGAGTGCTGAGATTAAAGGTGGGCACTACCATGCCTGTCTCTTTGATACTGTTTTTAAGAGTTCGTTGTAGCTGGGTGTGGTGGCACACATGCCAAGCAGACATGGTGGTCACCTGTAATACCAGCACTTGGGAGGCAGAGATGGGCTCCTCAGGGCAAGTTGGCTAGCTACACTGATTGTTGAGCTCCTGGTTCAATTGAGAGACCCTGCCTCAATAAATAAAATGGCACATGATAAGGAAGATACCCAACATCAACTTCAGGCCTCTACACACATGTGGTATTCACATGCATCTACTCACACACATGGCATGAACATGCATGCATACCATTCACATTAAAAAAATAAAGTGAACTCTCCTAGCCTGAACTACTATCCTCAGGCCTCTTGGGGTAAGTCTACAGCACAGCCCTCCGTGCCGGGACTCCCTAAGCCACATTCACCTTTCCATCCTCCCCGCCGTTCTATACTCCTAGTTTGGGCCCTGCGCCATTCCTAGTCTTGGGGCCCCAGACACCTGGGGAATCAATACTGCTCCTTGATCCTTTTCATCCAGACCAACATAGTGCCTTCTCTGGGCCCCAGCAGCATGACTTCCGGGCCTGGACCCACCCTCACCTCCCTCTGCTTCCCTGGCCCTGCACCACCCTCCCCAGGCCTCTCTCCGCCACAT